AAGTGTACTGCTGTTTAGAATTCATTCATGCAAAAGTATCTGAATTCTGAGGTAACTAAATATGAACATGTACTGAGTACTGTTAACCAACTTTTATTCGCGTGCAAGAAATTTTTGCAAGATTCAGATTCATGAGAGCCTCGTCATCGCGAATATTTCTCGCTGTGAACTGGGTCCTTTAGGCATCTCCTGTTCTATTTATAAACAGGTCCAAAAAGGCTTGATCGCGAAAATTAATCTTCGATTACTACTTTACTCCTGGTAAATCGCGAAATAAAGTCGTCACGAATAAAAGTTGGTTCACAGTATTTACATTCACATGTACAAAGAAGTCAGCAGGTACAATGTTCTGACTTCACAACCAACCAACCAACACCCCCCCCCCCCTCCTCTAAAATAAATCAGAATGAAAATATACTCTAACTTTCTTTAGCAAAATAATACTTTTTATTGAATATTCCTTTTAGTTACTGAAGAATTGTTTCTATTTATATAATCAAACTATGTGTATTTTCAGATGACAAGGCCAAAGGAATGTCTAAGATTTTACGAAACAATGAGGAACACTAAAACGCCATGTAAGTATAGAAAAGGGTATACTGCAAAATGCCAGATACAAACATTGGTTTCATTATAATTTTTCTTTTTTTTATTTACTTTATCTGAATATCAGAAAGTGCTATAATTTTTAGGGTAATTTCACCCTGTGTGAATGTATACCAGAATGTTTATCTCCAAGTCCTTTGTTAGGCATTAGTGGGACCTTTTTTGACTGTTTCTTTTTTTTATGTTTTAACGAAATAAAAATTTAAAGAAACCATTCATAATTGCAGTGTTAATTAAGATTATGAAGGTTGAACATTTATACATTTTTAGGTCACCTGAGTCACTCAGGTGACCCATTGCTATCTGTTTAAGTCCATCATCATGTGTCATGTGTTGACATTTGAACATTCTCTGCTTCTTATTTGAAAGCACTGAACCAATTTCAACCAAATTTGGTATACATCATCTATTGGTGAAGGGGGAAAAAAAATTAGGAATTTCATGGTCCTTGCCCCTTGGGGGTTGGGGCCAAAACTTATAAAATTAATGCAATCTTTAAAAATCTTCTTTACCCCTTGACATCAAACAATCAAACTGTTGACATGAATGTAATGAGCATTGAGTCCTCTACCAAAATTTTGAAATTCATGGCCCCAGGGTCAAAGGTTCTAGTGCTAGGGTGGGGCTATATAGATTATATAGTGAAAATGTATTTATTCTTTGAAAAATCTTCTTCACTGCTCCTGGGTATTAAATAAACTAACCAAGCACATAGTTATGATGAGCAAGAGTGCCTTGAAAGCAACAATTCTTTGAAAAATCTTCTCTGCTCCTGGATATTAGATAAACTAACTTAGTTCATAGTTATAATGAGCAAGTCAGAGTGTCTCTTCCAAAATTGTGAATTATACGGCCCCAGGGACAGGGGTTCTGGTGTTAGGGCAGGGATCTATTAATGATTATATAGCAAAAATGCATTAAGTCTTTGAAAATCTTCTTTTCTGCTCTTGTGTATTAAATAAACTAACTATGTATACTGTATACAGAGAAATTTTAGCACCCGTCTAATTTTTGCCCGTTCGCCCTCTTCCTGATTGGGCGAATTTAAAACGTTGTAAATTCAAATTTCACTACACAATTTCTTATACAAAACTATAACTGGGCAAATTTAAAACGGAGCAAAATAGTTTGCAAGTGCAGAAGGGCGAAAATAACCCTGTATACAGTAAGTACACAGTTATGATGAGCAGGAGTGCCTCTTCCAAAATTGTGAATTTCATGGCCCCAGGGTCAGGGGTTGGGTGTTAGGGCGGGGCTCTATTGATTATATAGTGAAAATGCATTAATTCTTTGAAAAATCTTTTTCTCTGCTTCTGGGTATTAAATAAACTAACTATGTACATAGTTGTGATGAGCAAGAGTGCCTCTTCAAAAATTGTGAATTTTATGGCCAAAGGGTCATGGGTTCTGGTATTAGGACAGGGCTCTATGGATTATTATAGTGAAAATACATTAAATCTTTAAAATCTTCTTCTCTGCTCCGGAAATTAGGTAAACTTACTAAGCTAACTTTATATAATTATAATCATGGGCGGATCTAGAGGGGGGTCAGCTTTATATATACAAAAGCAATGAAAAAGGTAACTTGAACCCCCCCCCCCTCAGAAAATGCAGACCCCCCTAGTAAATGTGAAGTTGTATTAAAATGGTCTGAAAAGTAAAAGATTTTGAAGCATTAAAAGTCACCCCCCCCCCCCCCCCCAACGAAATTGGATTTTCTGGGTTTAAATTTTTTTTTTTTTGACAGGGGTGGACCCCCCCCCCCCCCACCCCCCTTGGGAAAAAGTTCTGGATCCGCGTCTGATAATGAGCAAGAGTCCTTCAACCAAATTTGTGAATTTCATGACCCCTCGGTCAGGAGATTTTCCATTTGGTGTAAGAGAGGGGGTTCTCTTGAAGATTATATCAATAATATATTAATTCTTTGAAAATCTTTTTCCTTTGCTCCTGGGTATTATGCCAATCAATGATATAAGTTATTTAAACAATAAAATGCTTTCTTTGTTTGTTATTACTGGAATTAACGGAAGCAGCTGTTGCAGAAAAAATACATAACCCGCTTACGCGGGTTATGTAAATTTTTTCTGCAATAGCTGCGACCGTTCATTCCAGTATCAACAAACAAAGAAAGACATTTTATTGTTTATATTTATATCTGTTTAAATAATTATTTAATGTGGGATTAAAAAAGATTAATTATTATATTAATGATGCGAACAACCTTATACGTTTCATTGATGGAACAGCCACTGATTAAGAAATCTGTACAGGCAACATGCCTACTGTAGTTTATGCAGTGATGAAAGCAATATGGTTTCTTAAGAAATAAAGGAGAAAATATTCAGTGGATGTAAATATATATTTATGATGAAGAAAGGTGCATCTTGCAGAATTGTTAATTTCATGCCCAATTTGTCAATTGGTCAGCGGGGCGGTTACATATCGGTAGTCTGAAAATAAATTAATACTTTGAAATATGCGCTTTGGTATTAATCAACCATTTATGATGACATAAAATTTATGAAATTCCCAAAATTTTGAAATATGTGGCCCTAGGGTCAGTGGTTCCTGTGGGGTGCCAGTGGGAGGCACAGCTGGATATAAAGTGGAAGTGCATTCTCTCCTTGTTACTCTCATCTACCTCTGGGTATTCTGATAAGCAATGGTGCCTCTTTTAAATTTGTGAATTTTATGGTCTCTGGTTTACAATACAAACCAAATTCAATTGTTGGAAAGTTGTTACATGATACTTAGGTCACCTATAAGGTCTATGGGCCTCTTCTTTAATTAGCTGTTAGTGGGAAGTAAGTTATCATATTGAAATGTATCATATAGGTTTTATTTCTGACATCAATACACAGCCCTATAAAATCAATACATATATTTGATTTTCTTCACTTGACTGCTTCTCCACTGAGCAACAAACAGATTGTCAATTGTATCTATACATAGTCCATAGGGTTTACTCAGTCCACATTCTATGTAACAGAGAAACTGTCCATCCTGGTCTATGATGTGGACACAGTCATTGTTATCATCAGCTGTAAGGATGTGACTCTGACTGTCTGTGGTGATTCCTACTGGATTGAATGTTTCATTCTTTGGAACAGGAGTATGTCCAGTATACTTGAATCTCAGTTTCCCAGCCTGATTGACCACCACTACTGCTTTAGCTCCACCATCAGACACACAGATATCCAGGTTCCTGTTCTCTGCTATGTAGTATGTAATATACCGGTAACTAGCAGATGAATAGAGAGATTTACCTTTATCATCAAACTGAATGGTTTGTTTCTCTGTGGAGCCAGAGTAACGGACAACTTTTGCTGGTTTGCGAAGACTTTCCATGATAACCAGGAGGTCACCAGAGGAGGTACTACAGACACCGCGAGGTCTCCAGTTCTGCAGTCTGATCACCTCCTCTATCTTCTCATTCTTTACAATGTTCACAGTTCTATCAATGTGATCAGTATAAACTAGATCTCCACTTTTTGTCACTGCTATGTCAGATAGCCATCCCCCTGACTTGGTTATGATTGACTTGAGTAGTGATCCCTGATTGATGCTGTAGAGTTTCATGGTGTTGTCATTTTCTGTTGTCCAGATTTCTTTATCACTCAGACAAGCCACATTGTAAAGCTGTCCATACTCAGTGTCTATGGTTGTGACAGTCTCTGGTTCATCAAGCAGCTGTTTGACTGGAGGAGAGGATCCAGCTTCTGGTGATTTCTGTGTTGTCTTCATGCTGTAGCCATGTTCTTCTGAAGTCCAAGAACTTGATGATAAAGTTCCAAACAGTTTACTGAGTTTTTCTCCATGAATTTTTTCGGGAATGAATTTTGGTAAGGACAGTGTTAGTTTTTGTGGAAGATTTCTGTATTTATGTACTTTTAATGTAACACTAAACAGTTTAGATAAGTCATTAGTGTCTATAGCCATTTCAGCTGAATTGATTTCATCCTTGATGTCAGACACTTTCTTGTTTATTTCATCCAGATGTTTCTGTAGAGTTTGTAACTGTGTGTTTTTCATCTTATCAACTTCAGCTTTAAGTTTCTTGACGAGTTTGTCAATTTCTCTGTGCCAGTCCTCTCCATGTTTTGTTATGGCTGTTGAGAGATCTCCATATTCCTTTTTTAATTGACTCACTCTGTTTTGTACATCAGAGGCAATGTCCTGGTAGGTGGGATAAATTTTCTCCTTTAATTCAGTTTGATCTTTGATGATTTTGTTCTTCTTATCTTCCACGATCTGTAAGATTTCTGATAACTTGTGACCCAGGTGTTGATCGGATGTTAGACATTTTGTACAAACAGGAACGTCACATTGTTTACAGTACATTGTACATTGCTGTTTGTTATGATGTTTACACTCAGGGTAGAGGGGGGTAGATTTCCTGTCCTGAAATTTGACGACTTCGTGGTCCTTGGTTTCACCTGTTGAGATGTGTTCTCCCACACAGGCCTTACACAGGTTGACAAGACATGTATCACAGTGCATCTGTACCACAGCGGTCTCACACAGGTCACATCGTATCACGTCCTGGGCACTGGTACGGGGGTCCATGGTTAAACTTTTGACTCTGAAGTATAGAGTTTATTAGGCTTTAGAATATAGAGCTAAGTTGGTAAGATTTTTTGGAAAAAAACATATAGGTATTTGACTTGCTTCTTTTCAGTTTTGGAGGGATTTATTGGGCAAATTATCTTTTCCATTACAGAGTACAACTGTTATTTAATTTTTACCAACAGTAAAATCTAAAATTCAATGGGTTCATACCCCAGGGAGGGGATGTTGTCCTATACACTGATGCATGTATTACAAAAAAATACTGTGTTGTTAGAATTTTTCTAGTCTCAAGGACAAATGTCATGATTATCAAGCAAACTGTTTGCATGACTCTTATTATCTCATAATCCTGTGCTAAATCATAAAATAATATGGATAGTTGGAGCTGATGTGGCCGCATGAA